GACTGCACCGATACTCTTGCGCTACTCCCATCACTCAGCCCCTTTCGAACGTTAGGTTTAGTTACTGACTTTGAACGTTTTTGTTGGGTGTTTACAGATGTGTTTCGTCATGTCCAGTCAACTGTTTATTAAGTGTTTTGTTTTGTGAGGAATCTTTGCCTTTTTCTTTTCAATTAAACTTTTGTGTGTTTCTTGGAAACCGAACGGCTTTGTCCTTATTAACAAAACTCTCTGAGGCTCAGCCCGGGAGAAAAACAAATCAGCAACAAGAACCCTGCATCACAAATTGGCGTCCGCTGCGACAGGACAAAGTCGTTGTTTTTCCAGTAGATTTTTTGACGCGGTTAACACGATGACGAACACGTGGGAGTTAATTGAGTTGGCGGATAAAATGGGACTGACGGGAGCGGAGTTTAGAGTATGGTACGAGGAGCGGATGGAGAGGGAGCGTGAGCAACGGGCTGCAGAACGAAAGGCGGCGAAGGAAAAGCTTGAATTGGTGCTTAGAGCTAAGAAGGAGGAGCTAGAGCGCGTAACGCGTGAAAATAAAGTGTTGCTAGAGCGTCAGACACGCATACTGAAGCAGCGGCTCCAATTAGAGAGGGTGGACTTCGAGCGGCGACTCGAGCTTGCGATGGCGAAAAGGGGGCAGCTGGCGATGCAGAAGGTCGAGCAAGCGGTGAATGTTTGCTCCGATAGCAGCGTTTGCTGGAGGGAAGTCGATTCCTGCAAGGTTGGCCTCGAGCCTCGCGACAGCCTTACTTCGGAGCGAGAAGCTCAGATAGAGGAAGGCAGAGAGGTGGACAGCCAAGAAGGCAGGAGTCATGAGGAGTTTGTTGAAGCGACGGAAAGCTTCTCTGGCTGGGAACATATTACTTCCGTTAGCTGCTTGGGGACCTCTGAGAGGCCAAGCACCTATGAAGAAGAGCGCCTGGATATGGGCGACCTAGAAGCTGTGGAAAATGTTGTGGAGCAAAGCTTCGATAGCAGGGAACGAGAAGCTCCATTCAGAATGAGGTGTGTATCAGAACGTCTCAGAGGCCGAGCACATTTCGGGAAGGGGTAGGGCTACCTCTCAATAGCTCCATGGAAGGAGCGCTAGAACGTCATTGGGAAGATGGCAGCGAATGCCATGAAGGCTCTGATATAGTGGCCACTGATTGTTTTGTACCGACAGAGGTAGCAGCAGGCACCACGTCAATGGTCCTAGACCATACGTATATCTCACTCAGAGAGAGAGGGGATTCTAGTTCACAGGATAGCGTAACTGCTATTTGTCCGAGAAAACACGATGGGAGGGCTGAAGCACTCTTCAAAATAAACAGTATCGAATCGGAGGTGGGCTCGATAGTAGGTATGGAGAATGCCAGACAGGGTCTTGAACCTGAGAACGTGATTGGTTTTGAACCTATAATTAAGTCCACTCAAGATGAGCTGTATAATGACCGAGCACAACGGCATCCCTTCTCAAGAATCCAGGAACCTCACACGCTTGTCGGAGCGTTTGGGCTTGCTGAGGGCACCCCGAGCTTGTGTTCATTAGATGGTGAATTAAAAGAAAGCATTTGTGTGAGAGATTGTGGCATTTGGACATTCGTGTCTCAGTGCGTTTCGTGTCGACGCCGACGGCTCGAGACCGCGCCCTGTTCCTCTGTGACCGGTAAGCGTTCATGTGGCCGGCGGGGGCGCAGACACGCGTTTCAGCGAAAGTGCATAAAAGCATGTTGGCCACAGTTACTTTCGAAACGTGCGAGAAGGGCAGTGCGTCTGGTTTGGGACGCGATAACCTGAGTGTAGGGTTAGAAAACCGGTAGCTCTTTCTGGACTTCGACTTTTAGATGCGGACACAAGTAGCTTTGTCCATAGTCGATTTTGTAGTAAAAAGGTTTATTCCGGGTTTCAGAACTTTTAAATGCAATTGGGTGAATCTAAAGTTTAAGTGTGGACATTTGGACGATGTAGCGAACTGTAGCCCGGTGATGTGTTGAACTGCGTGGTGCAAATATGTGGTTTAATTGTGACGTAGTGCAGAACGCGCACTCATCGGCAGTTTTTTTTTCTAAAAAAAAAAAAAACTTGAATAAAAGGGGGGCGTATGTGATGTGTGGTGCGCGTTCAAAGTGCGCGCCTTCGAAAAGTGCGCGTCACGGAAAAAAAAAAAAACAAAAGGAGAAATACCAGAGTGCACGTGCGGTGCTGCTTAAACAAGAATGACGACGTTAAAGAGCGTCAAGCACGAGGATGCGTGGCAGGACGTGAAGTAAACAAAAGGTAAAACATCCAATGGGCAGCGAACACGGAGATTTCAAGGCCCAATGGCTTGACACCACGAAACAGTAGTATCTCCAATGAGAACGAGACAAGTGGGCCAGAGCTGAAGCAGGAGCCTGGGGAGACCAGAGCAAGGGGAATTCGAGGCAGGCAGTGCAAGCGGAAGGTCGTCACCGGACCGGGCGCTGAAGATGGGCCGTTGGGTTCCGGACCCGAGCCTACAGGACTTCCACCGGCCGGGGCCTCCTGCTGTCGGGTTCCCGCTCCAAAGGACCGTGGCCATCCGGTCCTGAACTCCTTTCCAGGGCCTGCGGACTTTGGTTCCGGCAGGCGAGCTACAGCCGTCGGGCTCCGGGCCCGAGCTGTGCGCCCAGCTGCTTGACTAGGTCGACCCTAGTTCCCGGACGCGTCGCCACCAGCCTGCGTTCTCCCGTCTCCGACGTGTCCACGCTCCTCAAGCCGAAACCATCACGATTTGGTAGGGCTTTTCGACGTGTCGCCAGCAGCCAGCGTTCCCTCGTCCTCGTCCAGCCCACGCACTGACGCAGGAGTCACGGCGTTCCGGTTTCTCATCACCGCCGAAAACCAACTTGTGGGTGAGACTGCACCGATACTCTTGCGCTACTCCCATCACTCAGCCCCTTTCGAACGTTAGGTTTAGTTACTGACTTTGAACGTTTTTGTTGGGTGTTTACAGATGTGTTTCGTCATGTCCAGTCAACTGTTTATTAAGTGTTTTGTTTTGTGAGGAATCTTTGCCTTTTTTCTTTTCAATTAAACTTTTTGTGTGTTTCTTGGAAACCGAACGGCTTTGTCCTTATTAACAAAACTCTCTGAGGCTCAGCCCGGGAGAAAAACAAATCAGCAACAAGAACCCTGCATCACAGCCTAATCACGTCCTTAGCTGAGCGCTCTCATCCACAGTGATCTCAACGGGCCAACATTATGTTGTATTCTACTTCGTTACGATGTTGTACGTGTAAAAATTCGGGTTCTCATTTTAAGAGTCGTGTCCCACATCTGTTTCTTGATGTAGAGGGAACGAAATTCTGATAGACACCTAGCTAGGTGTACGTTGTACTATACTTTGTCTGGTGTTCTGTCGGGTGATGGAGAGCACTCGCTTGTGTCCTGTGTTATCTGTTGCCGAACCGCTCTTGACAAGTTGGAACCATCGACAAGTGCTGAGACCGAAAATCGTCAGAAGAGACAAGAGACGCTGGCCGGCAAGTGGTGGCCACAAGCTAGTGGAGCTGGGATCTGTCCTCAATAATGGGATGTGTACACGGAACGGAGTCTGGAGCTCCGTTCTTCCCATGGCCCTGGAGGTGAACCTGGAGGGACCTGGCGGACGAGCTTGCCCGACATCCGAGCCACGTGGAAACAGCTCGTCTTTCCGGCACATTGTCTTGAGGTAGAGGTGCTGTTATGCCTGCTAGTCGACACCGAACGTCAATGCCTCTGCAAAAGGCATTCTGTGTCAAGGCCAGCAATAGAGCCCACCTGACGCGACCAACTCAACGACGTCATCAAGCGGTGGCACTGGTCTGCCACGCAACGCACCGCGAGCTGCCTCAGCCCATGAGCCCGTTGCAGCTATCGGCACCTTCCAGTCTGGCGAGTCCTACGCAATGCGTGGGAACGTCACTCGTCCTTGGCTGCAACCACGTGCAGTAATCGGCGCCTTCGAGTCTGGCGAGTCTTACGCAATGCGTGGCAACATACCTCGTCCTTGGTGCATTCACGCGCAGCGGCGAGCCCCACTTGAGGATTCCGACATCACGGCCAGTGGCACTTCTGGTTGGACATTTGATTACTCAAAGCATCACCCCATTGCCTATTAAAAAAGCCCTGCGGCGCGTCGCCAGCAGTAGACCTATGTGTCAGAGAAGCCTCTCCTTGCTTCGAGCCCCTTCGCAGTCGGTGCGGCCAGTGGTTTTGGCAGCGGCGAGTTCCGTGGCGCCCATCGTAACCTCGTCAGCGGTGTGTCTCGCAACAGCGTGCGATGGAAGACATCTCGGCTCTTCGAGCTCCTAAGCTCTCGGCCCCAGCGCTTAATTTGTAATGCCTCTACTTCTATGCTCTACATAAACCTTACCTTAACTCACCGTTGTCTCATCCGCTGGTCTATCTGCTCTGCGCAGAAGCAATCGCGAGTTGAGTAACACACGCTACCAAACAGCCGGTGACCGTATTGGTGGAGTTTGGAGCAAAGGCGCCTTTGAGACCGTGTTGGCGTCGCCGTCTTCGTAAAAATATGTAGACATATCTTTTTGTAACAACTCTTGTGTGTCGGTGTATTTTGTGTTCCGTGTACATATGTAAACATATCTTTTTGTAATGACTTTTGATGTGTCTGTGGATGTTGTGTTCTGTCGGGATGTTCTGTTGGATTGTAGTTGATGTTCACTGTTATTGAGAATAAATTTCTCCAAACATGTGTAATCTTCGAATATCAACGTTAACTACAAGAGATTTCAAAAAGTCAGCATGATAACTAGGTGAAACGGCACCGAAATTAGCGTGAAAATATTCCCATGAGTTTCAGGGAGTGTTTCTTGCTTCATCTTCACGGTGCTCGAAAAGGCGTCACCAGGAAAGATAGCACCGCCATTATTACACAAGTGGATTTCCGCTGATAACAAAAGATGGCGTCAACATTTATACCTACAAAAATTTTAAAAAGGTTTTCAAATAACATCACAAACATTATAAACGAGCAGCGATAATTAGATAACTATGAGCAAAGCAAATTTTATTTCGTTGCTTCCTAAAAAACAAAAAAATCTCAGTGGCGTCTTGACGTTTTGTCTTTGCAGGTACCTTGTTTCGGCCAGTCCGTTGTTTTGTCTACGCCGTTACACTCACATGCACCCAACCCTGGACATCCATAAAAGCTTCCATTTGGTCTTAGCCAGCATGTCTAGAAAAACAAAATCAGATGTAACACAGGCAAAGATTCTCACAAATGTGCGATAACAAGTCGTTGGAGACTTCAAGACATCGGCAGTTCGTCCATTATGTTACAAGAGAGTAAATTATATCAGATAAATCAGGGTCACTGGCAAAGTCTGAAGATGATCTAACGTTTCGGAACAGCTTCGTGAACAAGAAACCTGTATTTGTACCTGTGAGTTCGTTTCATGCGTCATCTGTGTGTCAGAAACACGCGGCACGTCTCGATCTCCTTTCCAGTCTTTGCGTGACCTTCCAGTTTGTTGCTATTGCGTTAAATGCTTCGTCATTGTGGCAAAGCTGCGACCTTTTTATTGACGAAGCGTCCCAAAACTGCGGCCTGGGCTGTGGTGTGGTGAAACTATCGGATGAAGTCTTCTAGGCTTCCGTCCGCACAAGAAGGTGTCCTAATGTTCCTGTATGGCGGCGCGCGCAGAAAATATTTCCAAAGAGCTGTCTCGCTTCTAGGGGGAACCGCGTAGTGTCACCAGAAGAATGAATGGGCGTTTGAAGTGAATACTATTTTTTCTGAGAATAGGACTTCAAGAGCTATTGGTTTTGCATGGAAGGTTTCCAATGAGCTCTCTTGCTTTTAAGGGGCATCGCATAGTGTCCCCAGAAGAAGGAACGGGCCTTTAGGGTGAATACTTCTTTGTTCTGAGAATCAGTCCTAAGTGGCAATGGCGTTGGCCTTTCTCGATAACAGTAGGTCTACATTGTACAGCAACCCGAGATTGCTGGTCCAAGCATTTGCCAATGAAACAATATCTGATTCAGCCTGGCGAATTCTTCGGCCTAAAGGCATCAAGTCGTGCACACTCGTTTGGTTCCCAGCTCGTATGGGACGCACTGAAGGAGTCCCGCCCTATCTTAACGAGTCAGCCCACATAGCTGTGTGAGGACTAGTAAACCACGTAGCTATCTGTTGGTGTGGCACTGATGTTTCGAAAAACCGTGACCCTCGAGTCTCGTGTAATGAGCTGATGATACATTTTTCCTGTTGTGAAGACAATACCCTCCACCACAAAAAAAATCTAAGCAGGCCTCAGACTCTGGTACTCATGCTTTTTCAGGTCTGGGCGTACGCAAACTCCGTGCTGTTGAACAAAATTTATCCTAAATTACAGCCAACTAATGCATGTTATTTCCGCGATGATATAAATTACTTAGAACATGTGCTCTAGTGCGATCCCGCGTTAACTTTGGGAAAGTCATCATGCCGTCGAAATAGAGGGTGCCATTACAAGCTCCGGACTGGAACAATAGTTATTGGCAGTCAACCAGGCTCGCGAAGCTGCCGAGAGTCTTGGTCTTTCTGTTCCGTTGTGAGAGCGGCCCGCAACGTACTAAAGCACGTTCCGAAGAACCAAATGAAGTTCGCGAATCCAATCCGTCTTCATGGGCTATTGTGTATGTGGTGGCTGTTAGACATGTCGTGTTTACAACCATTCATCGGTTAGTAAAATAGATAGGATTGAATGACAGCAGTATACTGAAAAGGGTAGTCATACTGAAGGATATTTTCAATTGTGAAGTCCTCGTTGCAACTTTAGTGCTGCGAAATCTTGAAATATGATGATTATTCTGAATACTTCACAGTTATTTAGTTGCTGCAAGTGGGCGTGTACTTTCAGTTATGCCTCTTCCAAGGGTGTTAAATACGTGCATGAGGTGTGACTCGCGTTCACGTTCCGGCTTTAGTTTAATTATTCTTTCTAAGTGTATGACTGACAATTTGCCAAATGAATGACTGGAAAGATCAAAATGTTTCCATAGAAGTAGATTTGGGGCTGATTTCGCATGGGCGCTGTGAATATTAAAACGTATCGAAAAGGATATATTTCTGTTTGTTCGGTGTATCACAGGCTACACAAAGAAAATTCAAGTAGATATACCAGATTAGAAAAATCGTATGTTAAACTTCCTAGTATGTTTACTGAAAACTTGAATTGTGTACTGGATGCCTTGTTTGTACCTCGCATCGCTTTACATACAAGACATTGAGGCTTTAGACAAGGTCGGCATGAAATGTCGGAAGTCGAAGTAATGATTTGGGAGTTTGCAAGTGTGTTTTTGAGGTAGTGCGTTCATCGGTAAATGACGCCAGGAGCCGATGCAAATGCGCGTTTCAGACGTTCACCTTGTTCCAGTAAGTTGTAATTTTGTTTATGGATTCCGTTATTGTTGGGGAAGTTCGCGCTCTAAGTTAAACACGGGTTTTCTGATGCAGGTGGTGTTTTGTTAGGCGATTCATAGGAAGGTCGTCACACTTCAGAGTTCTTGCGTTTTAAATGGCGTCATCAATTACAAGCGGAGGATATTTCTGTTCATCGAGCTTAAGTTTTAGCCCTCGTAAGCTCATCTGGAAGTCAGTGTCTTTTGCGTAATTTCGCCTAAAACGATGAGCCTGGCCGTGGGAAATTTTGTTTAAACAATGGCGTTGATAATCACTTTGGTGATGAAGGTACCGTGGTTGATCTTCTCGTTTGCAGTAGAGGTTTGTGGAACCTTTCTTTTCTTCTATTCTTATGGTAACGTCAAGAAATTGTACACTTAGTTGTGAGTAGGTGTGTGCAAAGTGTACGTTCGGGTGCACCGTGTTTCTAAGTCTCTATGAAGCTTAGCGGTTCATCATCACTGTGAGTCCTAAGAGGAAAAATGTCTTCAATGTACCTCTTGTATAGCACTGGTTTCAAGGGAGTTTGGGACAGAAATTAAGATTCTAGTTTTCACATGAAAATGTTAGCGTAATTTGGTGAGAGTTTGCCAATTTGTTGATAGTGCTTTTGGTTGAACTCAAATGAGTTCGATTTCAAAACCAGCCACGTAAAGCTTGCGATGGGAGAGATATCTGGGTTGTCAGGTTGTCTATGGTGTATGATTTTAATGGTGCTATGCCATCACCGTGGGGAATATTTTTTTATACAATGAAGACACATCAAAAGTAACTAGTACGAATCTTTCGGAACGCACAAATATGCAATATCTCGAATAAAAAGACTAGCGTCTTTTACATACGACGCGAGAGTGAAAGGAGTGTAGGTTATAATTTGTCTGCGTGCATTAATAAGGGTTCGGTTACTGTACTCATATCTGACAGAATTTATCGGCCTGGGGTACCGCGCTTGTGTATTTTTGGGACTATGTAGAAGCGACCTGGTTGATGGTGGACCAGCCGCATTACTTTCTGCTCATGGCGTGTCATTCTTCTTTTGTCTAACAGCTTCTTCGTTTCTGTTGTTACGATACACGCATATTTGGAAGCCAAGATAAGGCAACCAATTGAGCAGTAGGCGACAAAAAAGAATGAATACTTTCAGAACACAGATGCGAAGTTCTGAATATTTTGTAAAACCAACCATCACTACATGGGCACTACAAAGTAGTCGATGAAAATAGCACTCAGAAAACGTAACAGAAACAAAATCACAGTTAGCGTCATTTTAAAATGCAGTAGTCCGCCGAATCTCACTGTATATCCATGTTAAGTATTAAACTTCTTGCGCCTTAAGTAAACTTTTTTTAATGCAGTCAACTATACTCTGGCTATGACGTTCATGAAAGTAATATAGATATCAGTAAAGTAAAAACTTACTCCCATACACATAGGACTAGTTCCAACGTTATGGTTCGAAGCGCTTCCAAAGTTCTCACATCTGGAAAAATATTATGAAAAATTGTATTCTTTGCACCGAGCAAGATGCTGGTTATGAACAACTATACACTTAAGTAAAAATAAATACTAATATGCAACAGAAACACAGGTCACCGGTCATAGCGTTACTATTGTGATTAAACGAGTATGAGCCCAGGACCCGTATGTAGTGGCACGGCATTCGGGTGGTGTCTGCTAGCAACACAAACTATAATACATTAGGCGATAAGTTTGACGCTTTACGAACAATACCGCATGTGCTAATAACTAGAGGTCGGATTTTCAGACACTATACTTAGTGGGTTTTAGGTGCCAAAAGTAGACAAACAAAACACAATTTTAGGTCTCCAGAGCTATAATATAGGGCACAATAAAATTTTACGAAAGTTCAAATAATTTCAAACAATGACGTGCGCGGCCTGTGTCCAGGACAGCAGGCGAGAAATGTTATTGTTATTCATAGCACAAGGGGGCCCATGGTGGAAAAATGACATTATTTGCCGCAAGGTTTACGGATTACAGTCTTCTCTTATTGTGTCTACCAGGGTGAACGAAGTGTTCACCGTCTAATAACAACAATTTTGGGTTTCTATCTTGTCGAAACGTTATGTGAATGTGTCTATAGAGTAGGAAGTCTGACCAACAGGCTGTGGGTTCAATCCGTGCCATGTTTCGGTGCAGGCAAATAATGGTCGAAACTAAAGTATTGTGTGGTGTCATTAGGGCACCAGATTGTGAGATTTCCTCAACCTTCCACTACGGCTTCTTTCAAAATCCACTTGTTTTTTGGGGTTGTCAAACCCCAAAATTACTTTAATATGGGTTTCTTTTTTTTGGCCGTGGCTGAAAGGGGTAGCACAGGAGAAGATAGCAAGAGCGCTAAATGAGAAGAAGTAGGAGGTGCCTCGTATTTGCTGGGCCTAATTAAGCAGTGTGAATGTATTTCCTCTCGGTGAATACTTTAAAAGGTCCTCACCATGTTTCCAAAATTGGAGCTCGCAAATGAAATGACTGTACTGGGCTCTCACGTTCACGTTCGCCAATATTTGGAATGCTATGCGTGGTAGAAGTACTTAAAATATCAAACTGATTGCCACTGGTAAAATATGTCAATTAGTAAACTATGTTATGCAATACATAGCATATACAAATACAAAGAATAGTAAACTATGCTATGTAATTAGTAAACTATGCTAACTAACAAAACTATGCAAATTAACGCGACGTTAATCATGATCACGCTGTAAAGCCTTGATGATTGGCCTTTACTAATACGATCACAGTTAGTATCCTGCTAATCACGATTACGTTTAATAGCTTCATACTGATCATGGCATTGTTAGTTGTGCTCCGGATAATTGCCCTTTAATTGAAGCCTTATCTATGAAGACAAGACAGCTCAGTGTATTGATCGTCAAGCCTCAGTCAGTACAGTCAAAATTAAGGCAGAGCAGATGCGGTCTTTTGTTTGAAGCCGAGTTCTCACATAAATAGAGGGTCAATTTAAAAAGCTGCAATAAGCTAGGTTATCACAAGCTCCTCTATGGCCCCAACCTTGCACAAGTAGTGTAAGCTCGCCCAATTATTTTATATGCAAAGAAGCTGCCACTTAGCGTTCACTGCATCAAACGCGTGACAGTCACACCGGTGCCATCACCGTCACGAGCTCAACTTGAGCCCTCTCGAAATCAAAGAGTTTGTATCTCAGTTCACACGCCAATCAGTTTGATTGAAAGACGCCCGCGGCGAAGGTCGGGTACACCCACCACCCTTGCTCTTGCCGAGGAGCAATACTCAAATCGAGCGGCACGATTATTCTATCAGCATAATAGCACAGACTAATCACGCACGCACACAGAAGTAAAAGTGATATCACCACGCGGGTAAGATATCTCGCATTGAATATCACCGTGCTCGCAACGTATCTAAACACAGCTGCGTTGCCGCCATGATGCGAGCACCCCTGGTGATTACCTATTTTATATATACCTGTTATATTTGATAGAAGTTAAACGAGAAGCACAAAAGTGTTGCGTGTGCACCCTTGCTGCCTTCTAGAGTGGAAATTTTCATGTTGCAGGTGGAACGAAAGACCCTGCTCGAAAGAGAACATAAGCCCACAAACACACATGCAGAAGACGCTTGTCAAGTTGGCAAAATATTAGCCTGACAATCAAGTTTACGTTACCGAACTGTTAATATGTTTACTGAGTGGTGGCGCTGGCGTGTTCGCACATGGTGTTTCTTTCATAGCCATCGCAAATGTCCCACAGGTGTTTCCAATGCCACGTGCGTTCCTGTAGCCATAGTTATCGACACTGCTATCATGCACTACGCGCTGTCCTGAGATCACAGCTGTTATGAGATCACAACAAGGCTTGAGATCAAAGCTGTTGTGAAATCACATCAAGGCTCACGTACGCCGTAGTGGTTGCTGCCGCCGCCGTTGTCCGTAAGCACTATTACGCAAAGGGAGAAATAGTCAGACAGACACAGAAATTTATTGGGTCCTGAGAAACACTACTCTTTAAGAGCAACGTCACGGGCCGCTCCCATGTAGGAACGGGGAGGCCTAGCCGCACCACTGCATCGTGGGCTCCCTGGACAGCCTGTAGTTATGGTAGTACCTCGGCACTTCGTAAGGCATAGTCCCAATCCTCTATTGTAAGCCGACTTAGGCCCCGTATCGAGAGGCACCGCCAGAAAATATGTGCTATGTCACTAACCTCACCACAATCAGGACAAGTAGAGTCGAAAATCTCTCAGGAGACCATGCTGAGGAAAGACAGACATAAATGGAATCTGGTCAGAAGCATGCTAAATGTGATGGCCTGAGGTCTAGACAACTTGCTGGGAGGAGGAGAAAACGACCACCTACTCAACTGGTATTGTTTAGCCACTTCATTGAATGTAAGTTAAGCGTCCCTAAGCATCCCACTGCCAACGTGCAGACCTATGTCCTCCCCGGCGTGGAGGGTTAGTGCGCTCGCCCTGGAATCACCAGTGACTCAGGTTTATTAGAGAGTCCAGTAGGGGTTCGAGATGTGCAGAAAAACACGTATTGGCTGGGGAGAAATCGTCCTATTTTCAAAAAGTTTAAATGCTTGAGCACAAACAGAACCAGAGGGGAAGACCCTGACCACTGACCTTGAGTCGGTGAATACTTGCGATCTACTGTAGTTCAAATGGCCAAGGGCTACAACGAACAGTTTGGCTATTGAGTAAGCAGAGTTTTCAACTGACGCAGCATTAATAATAAAACCCACGTGATTGATGAAAATAACTGAAAACCTAACCGAGCGACCGCACTCAGTGGCATCAACAAAACACACTGAATTAGAATTGTTCTGATGCTCTTTAGAAGCGCGATGGCCCTAGCCCGGTGCCTGCCTACGTTGTTCTGAGGATGGACGTTTCGTGCGAAGGAAGAGACCTGGATGGCAGTACTCTGTTTATCCAGCAGTTGAAGACGGCGATCCTCTAGTGCAGGGCCGAGACCTAGGATGAAAACAGTCTGCCTATGAGCCGGGGTAGATAACAGGCCTACCAGCTGGGTAGTCTCTTGAGCTTCAATGATCTCATATAAGGTGTTATGGACTTCTAGCTGCATATACCACTCAGTGCTCGTCTAGACGGAGATGCTTAGCCTCCTTTTTAAGCTTTTCCTGATCACATTTTTCAGCTTCTTCTTTTCGAATCCGTACCAAGAGTGCATGTCAGCAACGTACGCAATATGACTCACAAAGAATGCATTGAAGAGTCACAGCAGATTTTCTTCCTTGAGTCCTCCTCTTCTGTTGGAAACCCTATTAATCAACCTGATCATGTTCACGGTCTTTGTTGAAATCTTTGAAATGGTTCGACGGTTGTACCCGGGTGACTCTATGATCTTGCCCAGCACTCTAAGTGCGTACACTCTAAAAATGGGTGCGCCACTTCCGGTGTGAAGCACAATGTCCACCTCTGATAAAGGTTTTCAGTTCATTGGCTTAGCGTCTTTTCTGCGGGGCCTATTTAAAAGCAGCTCTGAGTTACTCGAGGCGCACTTCAGCCTGTGCCAGCAATAAAGAGCTCCGTTTGATCGACGGTTTTCTGGAGTGCAGTCATGACTTCCTATTTGCTACCTCCGGGACACCAGATGGCAATATCATCAGCGTAAAGCGTGTGTCTGATGCCCATCACGTTAGATAACAGCGTGGACAACTTGCACATAGCGATGTTATAAAAAAGCGGGGATATCACCGGTCCTTCTTGTGTGCCTTTAGGGCCGAGTGCTGTAGGAGAGGACTTGAGGTCCGCAATGTTGAGCGTGCTCTTCCTGAATTCGAGAAAGGAGCTGACGTACCTGTTACAGGCTGCGCCCAGCGCAAGCTCTAAGAAGGACTTTAAGATGTGCGCTTGATAGAACGTTGTCAAACGCTTTTTTCAAGTCAGGACCCTGAATGCCTCCTACGTCTCTTGTGTTCACGTTTATGACATGATGTTTGAGTAGCCTCATTGTGTTTTGTGCGGGCAAAACTAAACAAAACCAACCATGTCACAAAGAAAAAGACCCTTCTACTCGATGTACTTAGAGATACAGTTTTGAATGACGTGCTCCGCCACCTTGCCGACACAGGGCGTTAGTGATGTGGGCCAGAGATTGGGTAGTCCTGAAGGTCAACAAATTTTGAGGATAAAGACAACGGACGCCATTTTCAAGAGTTTTGGGCAAAACCTTCTTTCCATATGCGATTGATCTCATCGGTACGAAGCTTAATGCATTCTTCTTCAGGGTTCCTGAGGACACTGCTACAGATGCCATCCGGCCTCGGAGCCGATCGTCTAATAAAGTTTTGAACCTCCCACACGTCACTGGCGTAAAAGGACTCTCCGAGCTCATAAAGTGCGAGGGGGTCCAGTTTAGGACGGATAGTCTGAACAGCTCCAGGAGTGAATGGGTGGTTATCTGCTAGCCAAACAATCCAGTAAGGCGTCTTGAGGCTCCGTGTATAAGTTTAG